TTTCTCAAGCTCATGAAACGTTAATTATTCGTCCGTTTCTCTTCTGGACATCTTGCCACGTCTTTTCTCAAGCCTGCGCAAAGTCAATTACTCATCCATCCTTACGCTCATGGTACCCTTCTCTTTTTTCACGCTTTTTCTTTGGTAGATGGCACACCTTCCCCCCCCTCAAAATGCGATGTCCCCATCGCACGACTAGTTCTCACTCGGAGGTACGCAACCGTTGGCCCACCAACGAGTAGGTGGATGTCGGCCCATCAGCCCCAAAAACGAAGGGTGATCAGTCCTTCCCCTGCTGATAGCTCACCTCATCCCCTTACTCCGTCCGACCTTTTGCTGCTTACGAGACGGGCGTCATTACTGAGGTACCTCCTCACATCTCGAAGGCAGGTCCAGTCCAAGCCTCCTAGGACCCCGTCTTGCCGTTCCTCGCGAATCGTTCCTCCCGATTGGTGTTTTCTTGGATCCGGCCTCTTCTTTTCAAGAGAGTTGGGGCTCTCAATTAGTCCACGAGTGCAGTTACGAAGACCTCGCAATTAGTCCCGGAGCAGTTGTAATGCTCCGGCGGGGCGGTGTCAATGCCCCGTGGTGGTTGTGGCTTCCACCCGGTACCACGCCCAATTCCTCCCTCTGGACAGCGCTGCTCAACTTAACGCGAGCCGCCGTGGTCCATTCCAAGCGGCCGCGCCGCCCCTCAACGGCATGGCGTGTGGTTGGGGAAAACAAAGGAGACTAGAAAAAGAATGGCTCTCTCGCCCATTTGGTTCTCTCACCCTTTGACGTTTAGGCGTTCAACACGAGGCGCAACTTGAACTTCCCGACTAGAGCTCGTTGTCGGGGTTAGTTCCGGACGTCCCGCACCGATCCAAGTGGTGGGTGCCTTGGTCCTTTAACCCTCATCCCCTTACAAGAGGAACAGGTCGCGCTGAGACTTTTTCCCTTACAGGGATAGAGGTCTTGGGGTCGTGGTGCGAGCACCAGTATCCCCCTCCTGCTGAGGCCAAAGACTAGAAAAAGAGTAAATTCATTTCAAGGTTATTTCTAAGACTATTTCAAGTTGCCTAGGGTCCCTTGACTATGCAATGCAATATTCAATTCCCAATCATTCAATCCAATGTTATTTCCAAGGCTGATTCTCATGGCTGGTCTGACAGCCTCTCATCAACAAGGCCACCCACATGGCCGGTCTGGCGGTCATTCTCTCAATAGCCATTTCTCAAGACTAACCCTTTCGCCCACTCAATCCTCAGTTTTCTCATTCCTCAACACCCAATCTTTGTGACCGTCCCAACGGTCCCTGCCCTTCTCGGCTTTAAGGCTCCGCTTTCTTTATCCTGTCCTCCTCATTCACATCTTTCTTCCGCCCCCTTGGCTGTTTCAGCGGCCGACCTACCGGCCTTTTCATCTCTTCCGTCCATCCCTTTGGCTTATTTCAATGACCGACCCACCGGCCCTTTCCATCTCTTCCTCTCATCCCATTGGCTATTTCAATGACCGACCCACCGGCCCTTTCCATTTCTCTCATCCCATTGGCTATTTCAATGATCGACCCACCGGTCCTTTCCATCTCTTATTGCTCATTCCAGCACGTTCTCAATCAACCTTTCTCAATCAAATATGCAGGGGACCCCAGTGCCTATTTCAAAAGGAATGACCCTTGTCAGAGGCCATTCCCGAACAACCTGGTTAGGGTCGTTTTTCTCCATTCTCAAGTCGAACAGCCTGGTTAGGGCCATTCCTTTCCATTCTCAATGTTAGTGCCCGAGGGGGTGGGCCTCGAGGTTACGGATCCCATTTCTGTCTTGGAGGTTAGAAGGTGGTCATCTCATCGTTTGCGTGTTGTTCTCTTTCTTCCCTTTCTCACAATAATGTACCATCCATTCCATTTCTCACAGTAATGTATCATCCATGCGTACATCCGACTGAGCGTCTAGCACTCGAGTTGGGGCTTGCGACCCCAAGCAGCACTAGCCCACCCGGCCGTTCATCCATAACAAATGACAAAGACGCCCCTTCCATTTTCACTCTTCCTGATCTCTCAGGTTTTGGCTATTCTCAGTCTCATTCATGACTCAGTTGGATTAGGCTCCTAGGGAAGGAGTGTTCTTCATGCCCCTTAACCCATATTTCCCTAACCTCTCTAGTACTCGACCAATCATTCAATGCCATGGTTTGCTCGTCAATCCGTACTCAAGGTTTTCCCCTCTCAAAAGCATAATCCTTATTCCATCCTGAATTCACAATACACCCTCTCCCTATTGGTCTCATCCCAAGTCCCATGTCTTTGTCTTATGTACCCAAGGTAGCTCATCCAAAAAGTAGCCTCAAAAATTATCTTTTATCTTATCGTGACACAGCCTTAGCTGGCCCTCTTTTCAATTCCTCCTTAGCAAGCTTGCCCATATTATACACGTTCTCGTCATTCTCATGTCTCTGCAGACAAAAAGCAGCGATCCTTCTTAACGCTAAGTTAACACCTAGTTCCTATTGCTGCCTTGCGCCTCGTCTTGCCCAGTTCCATGTCCACCCCGTTCCTTGGCAGGCTTCCTAACCCCCTGGCCGTAGGTCTCGATCTCTCTTTTCATCCTTACAATTTTATGCAACTCTGCCTCGTTGAAAAAGTCCAGTGGTGTGGCTTCCACCCCTGCCCTTGCGAGTTCCCGAGTCTTGATAATCCATTCGTGCCTGATTACAATGGTCCATTGCTGAAACCAATGACTGGGCGTTGGTCCGAACTCGTCCTCCCATCTAAAAGCCCCGTCGCCCGGCTGGTGCATCGGAGGCCGCCCCTCTTCCCTAGGCCTTGAGATCTCATCCCTCTCATCCCCGCTGCTGATTTCTATGACTTCTCGCACATCCTTCTCCTCGTCCCCCTTGTCTTCAGTCTGTATGGGGCTATACCCACCAGCAAGGTTCTTTGGGTCGTAGGTAAAAAGGATCTCTGTCCCCGTCCCATACCCCTCGCTACTGCCGTGACCGCTTCGTCCTTCAAGCGGGCTCTCCCTTTTCTCCTCATCCTCCTTACGTTCATCGCGCATACCTTGTCCCCCCTCACTTTCCCCATGCCAAGTCTCACGTCGTTCGCCCCTGTTGGCCCCTCCCTTGTTAGAGACCCGAGCCTTATCTCCCATTTCTGTGTTGCCTCCTTCTTCCACATTTGCCCTTCCCTTTTCGCCCTCACTGTCATATGATATTTCTATGCCTTCTCCCTTGCGGAGGGGTGAGGGTTTCCTACACAAGCATTTCCTTCCACCCCGACCTACCACTGGCCTGCCCATGAGCCCAATGTACAATTTTCTCTTCGCTGTCCTCCTCCCTTGGCTTGGTCCAGCTTCTTCCCCTCCGGTACGCCTGTTGATTGCCCCGTTGTCGTTCTCGTTGCCGAATTCAATTTTTTGTCTTTTCTCGTTTTACTCCTAAGCCCTGTATAACAAAACAACACCCGCAATGGCCCGCATACACGCATTCCCCCCCCCCGTCCGGTAGACAACTCCCTTTCCCAAAAAAAATGCTCCCAGTACCCTTCGCATCATGCCCCTTTTATGTCAGTCCAAGCCATTGCCCCAGTCCCCCAAAAATGACAGTCCCATGGTCATGGTCAGCGACAAACCATAGTGTGGGCAAGGCTGTGGTCAGTCTTTAGCTTGTGGCTCCTCAGTTTCCTTATCTTCGGCCTCCTGAAGCCATTGTTCCACTGGGTCCCGACTTAGAAACCTGACCAATCTTTGCCCCGGGAAGGGCCCTTTCAATCCAGTTCCATCCAAATCTTCCAGTTCGAAGGTGTTCAGTCCCACCCGCTTGGCGACCCGGTAGGGGCCTTTGAACCTTCTTCCCAGTTGTCCTGACCAAGCACTTTCTAGTGCCGAGTTCCTTAGCAATACCATCTCTTCCACTTGAAGTGGCTCCTTTCTGACATTCTTAACCTGGTCCCACCTTGCTTTGTCCCTCATTCTGCTGTCTAGTACGCGGTTAACGATGTCTTCCATGACCTCCTCGTTCTTAAGGATCTGTTGACATCTTGCCTCGACTAACTCTTCAGTAGTCATTTGCGGGTCATCATCTAGCCTATTCCAGGTAGGTACCGAGGCTTCCACAGGAAAGTCGATCTCTCTTCCGTACCAAAGTTCTGCCGGGATACATCCTGTTGTCCTTTTAGGGGTCATATTCTCTGCAAAGACAGCCTGCTTAAGACACCTGGGCGAGTTCCCCAGATGGTCCGTGGTGAGCTTTGCAATCGTGTTTTTCAATGTTCGGTGCCCCCTTTCCACAGGTGCGTTGGCCTCAGGGTGATATGGCTCGATGAGTTTGATCGGTACACGGAGTCTCTTAGGCATCCCCAATACTTCTTGGTTCACAAACTCCGTCCCATTGTCTGCCATAAACCTCCTGATGAACGGATGCCTCAAGTAGAAGTCTTCTATCCAATCCGCCACACTTCTCCCTGTCTTTTTCTTGAGGGCGACTGCCTCCACGAACCCGCTCTGGTTGTCTCGCGCATCCAGGATATAGCTTGTACCCATCCGTTGATACAGGCATGACTGCAAGGTCGAGGTGGACGAGATGTCCTGGCCCTAGCACCCGCGTTGGTCTAAGCGACTTGAAGACCCGCACCAAGCTTCGTTCTTGGCAAATAAGGCAAGTCTGGCACTATATGGCGACCATGCCTGCCATGCCTGGCCAATAATAGAGTGGCGCTATCTTTGCAAGTGTTCCTTTGGACGACCGATGACCTCCAGCTAACCCGTCGTGCATTGCCTGGATAACGTCTACTTGCCTAGGTCTTCCGCACACAACCCTTCTGGGCATAGCACCTTCCTCCTTTCGGAACAAATGCCCCCCCCTTAGGACGTACCTTTCGGCTTCTTCTTTTGCTTTAATACTGACTTCCGTAGGTTGTTTGTTTCCTACCAACAACAACCCGATCTCCCGAAAGAGCCCTTCGTATGATTGGACATAGAAAAACTCCTCCTCTTCCTGGCCCCCATCCTTTCCTTCCTGCATCTGGTTTACCACCCATTGCAACTCTTTCCTTTCCCAAGATTCCACTAAGCTCATCACTGCCTTCCAGCCTCCCTCGACTGCCATTGCCATTAGTTCCTCTTTCGGCCCTACTATCGCTCCCCATGAGTCATTTTCTTCTCTGCGTCCTCGAGTGGTAACTAATCCTTCTCTAAGTTCTGCTACTACGACAGGTGCTCCCTTCTCCAAAGTCTGGATCAATAGTTCTTTCGATGTGCATCCCTCGCTCATCATTTCGTTATCCACCACGAGAGTCCCTCCTTCATAATCAAGGAAGGCGTTTATGGGCTCTGCATCCTCCAACCCTTCGGGAGTGATGCAAGCCCGACTCAGCCCATCTGCCTTGTTGCGGATTCCAGCAATCCGTTCGATCTTGTAATCGAACTGCCAGATGAATCCTACCCATCTCCCTACCGTCGGATCTATAGGCCTGTAATTCTTTAGAGCCCCTGCGACATTCGTCGGATCGATCCTTAAGATGAACCGCCTCCCAAATAGGTAGGCCTGGAAGGTCTTAAGGCAATGCAGGATGGCTAGGACTTCCTTCTTGAATTGTGAATACCATCGTTCTGCGGAGTTCAGGGTTCTACGAACCTAATTGGCCTCTCTTTTCCTCCCTCATCCCTTTGAATCAACACACCTACGGCCAAAGGTCCTCCATCCGTCTCTAGGATCAAGGGTCGTCCCACTTCGTCATTAAAACAAGGCGCGAACAGGGCGACTGTCTCAGATGTCAATATATCCTTGAGCCTTTGGACAGCTCCTTCTCGCTCCTCCGTCCAATCCATGGTTCCTTCTTCCCTTATCATAGCCCGGATAGGCTCGACAATCTTGGCAAAGTTCTTAATGAAGATCCTCCGAAAGCCGACTACGCCTAGGAATGCCCTTACCTCCGTCGTCATGCGCAGTGGTGTCGGACATTGTGATATCTTGTCGGTCTTTGCCGCATCCGGCTTCCTGCCGTAAGTACCGCAACGAAATCCTAGTATAGTTACCTCTGGTACTGCTAGGATACTCTTTGGTCCACTAGCCGTAATGTTGTATACTAGGAACCGGCGGAGTAAGTCCTTAATGTCCTGCACGTGGTCCCACACAAAACATCGGATCCCTGGCTGGACTTCCGTCTCCTCCTTTTCCTGCGCGCCTTTGATCGGATTGTTATCGATGTAAGGTTCACATTTTTATGGGAACATGTCCCCAGCCACGACGAGCATCCTGCGTTGCGCATCGGCGTTTGTGAATCCCACAGGTGTCACTTGCATCTGTAGCTGGCCTACGGGGGTGTGCATAGCGGTGTATGGCCTGTCCCGAACCTCCAATGGAAGTTGGTCGTACCCTGTGTACAAATCTATCAGGGAGTAAATGCTCCGACCGGCGTGCGATTCTGCTAATAAGTCAGCCTGAGGTAGCGAGCCAGCATCCCGGATGGTTACCGCATTCAACTTCTACAGGTCCTGAATCCACCTTAGTGTCTTGCCAGGCTTCCAAAAAACGAACCACCGATTTGCGTATGGCGATGACGTAGGCTCCACAACGAAGGAGTCCATCTTCGCTCGGAGGAGATCTGTTACTTCTCCTGCTATCCCAAATTCATAGGATGGCCCCTTGTCATTCCAGCACTCATGTTCTACTGTGTGGATTCTGACCGGAGGGATCAACTTCGCATCCAGCCGTCCCTTCTGGTGATCACTAAAGGCAAATGCCAGGGGAAACTCCTGGCAGGTCCTTTTGATCAGGCGGGTTTCTTCTTCCGTTAAGAACCCGTCTATCCCTATCTTCATTATGTCCACTACCTCATCTGGTATCCGATGTCCCTCCGTCGCCCTTCTTTCTCGGATCACTCGAAGGACCTCTTCCTCTTTCTCCATAGCCCCTTCCTTTGATGTCTCTTGCAGGATCGAGACCGGTTTTGCTTTCTTCCCTACCGGCTTGTACTTTCGAACACTTCCTTCCGGGATCTTTCTCCTAAAAAANTCTCTTGCAGGATCGAGACCGGTTTTGCTTTCTTCCCTACCGGCTTGTACTTTCGAACACTTCCTTCCGGGATCTTTCTCCTAAAAAATGAACAGTCGGAATTGCCCCCGTCGCCTCTACGACTCGTAGTTGAATACTAACTAGTTTCCCATTCAGGCAATATCCCTTTTGCACCTCTCTTTCGAACTTGGCCAAGGCTGCCGAATCCACTCCTACCTTGTGGTATCTGAGGGCCTTGATGAGTTGCAATAGATCGGGGATCTCGAGTGTGATTTCCGACACATCTATGCGTACTTCTTTCCGTTTGGGCAGACTAGCACCAAGTTCGACCTCTGACTCCTTTTCCGCTACCATAACACCTAGGACTTCGTCCTCCTGCCTCCTCTTCTTCTGGGGCAGGCCCATCTCGATCCACTCCCTCTTGTTGAATGTCTCCTCATTCATGGTTTCTACCCTTTCTCTCATACCCTCCATCCGTGCGAAAGCCCCTTTTCGCGTGCTATCCTCGAACGACGGCGACCATGTTGCCAATTTCCCCTTCGGGGGGTCTCCTCCCGTTCCAAGGAGTCGGAGGAGCTCTCCCCGGCCGGTCACAGGGTCCTCTATGTCTACCATGTACGAGCCATCGTGCAAGTGCATGCCTATCATCTCTACGTTCGCGCACCACGGTCTTCCGAGGATTATGTCGTGGTCCATCCCCTCCATTACGGTTATCCGCTGAAATGACCAGATCGATTCCCTGACTCCTACCTTTACAGCACACTTTGTGATGTACCCAGCGAACGGGATTTCCCCGCCAGCTCCCCGGATGCTCCCTGTTACTTCCTTGTTTACCGTACATCTTGTGTTCGTTGCGAAATCTCTTCTTATGAGAGTGATTTATGCTCCCCTTGCTACTAATGCGTCGGTATGATGACTCCCGATCTGGATTTTCAGTTTCCCTACGGGCAGCGCATGAAAGCTAAGCTTCGTCCCGCGTGGCGATCTCATGACTTTGCCACCCTCTCAGTCGGGCAAGCTCAAACGAATGTCTGCAAAGGCCTTTTCGAGATCCTCCAAGTCCCCGCGACTCCTATGAAGGTCAGCCACTTCTTGCGGAGCTTCCTCCTCCCTCTCCCCTTCTGGTAATTCGGGGTCGACGCCTATTTCTACTCGCCTCCGAGTCAATAGTTGTCTGAGCCCTTTAAACAACCTAGGACTAGCCTGCAGCATGGTCTGAAAAGACACCGACACCATGGTTCCTAGTAACTTGCTAATGGTGTCGTCGAGCTCAGGCAAGGTTAAGATCGGGATTTGATACCTAAACTTCTTCTTAGCGGCGGTAACCTTGTCCGCAGGCTCCTCTTCCCTAGGCTTCCCATAGACTTTCTCTGGTTCCTCCGCCTGGGGTTCGGAGCTCCCGACGACCTCCTCCATAATGGTGTCACGGTTAATCCTTCTCCCGGCTGTTCCTAGTCGAGTGGTTGCGTTCACCCTATCACGTCCGTCGCTTTCCAAAATAAAGTTGGCCTGCGGCCCACGGTCCCGGAGCTGATCCCAGATGATCTCGCCCACCAGTTCGGCTTCTACGACTGTTATTTCTAGACCGTTGAGCATGATAATGGCTTGCCGCATCCCTCCTGGTGAGTTCCAGTTCACCTGTTCCCCTTGTGGTCCAAATATCTCCCCCTTTAATGACCTGGTACACCTTCTTTTCAGAATATCATGGTTGAGCTTTGGGCATGCGCGCACATAATGTCCTATCGCGGTGCAGTACTTGCATTGCTCGTTAGCAGGATCTCTCCGTCTGAATCCCCGGTTTGCTACACCTGGCGGGACCACAACTTCCTGGGGAGGGAGGGCAGGTCGGGATACTTGCGCTTGCATAACCAGTAGCGCGCCTTCCATCCTTTCAATCTTATTGTCGACCCCGTGCACCCGTTCATGTAGACTTTCAATCCCCTTTTTTACCTTGTCGTCCGTCCTACCGGTCAGATCTATGATCTCTCCTTCCTTGAGCAAGGCCAACGTCTCCGTTACTACCGTTTTCTCAGCCAGATCCGTTACCATGCTAAAATCAACATCCCGCGTGTTTACGAACTTGCTCGTCTGTTGGTAGGCTGACAGGATCTTGTCTTTGTCGAACTCGGAGAACTGCCTGAGGAAATATTTGCTCATTATCCGGTTCGTGACCCCGGGGATCCTTAGTGCTACCAGAGTAAATTCCCGTAGGAAATCATTGTACGTTGCGAAGTTCTTCCTCTGGACTGCCGCTAGGTTGGCCTCCGTTGCCATTTTCTCTGCCGCTAGGTACTTCCTCATCATCACATCCCGGGTCTCCTTCCAAGACTGGTTTGCGGCTACAATGGCCATTATGTCCCGTCCTAGGCTTAACGACACATGCTGTCCTAGATGGTCCATCTTTTCCTCCTCGGTCCACTTTAGTAACGCAGCTAGGTTCTCGTAGTCGATCAGGAACTCCGTGATGTTTGCTCCATCAAAAGTCAGCTTTTTCTTAGCGTCTGCCAGATAGCCTTGATTTTTGTTTAGTGCCCACGCGAGGGACGACACTATCTTCTTAAGGCCGCCCTCGGAGCTGCTGGCCTCGCCTGCCACACTGTTATCCGGACTTTCCTTGTCGGCCTTCTGTTTCTCCCTGGTTTTCATAGTTCCTTCCGGGTCAAACCATCCCAACACTCTTTCCCTAAGGCTCCAAAGTCTTTCGCATCCTCCCGCTACTGCTGGCGTGATCGCCAGGCGGCTTGCCCTACTGTCCATGGGTGGCGAAGTCGTAGCCTTTTCTGCTTCCGTCCCGGAGAGTTCTCTCTCTCTTTCCTTCTCTTGCTCGGCGTTCCCCCACGGTCACTACCTTTATCCCCTTGTTCAGTCCCACCTTGGCTGGCTTTCCGTTCGTCCCGAGGTTCCTCCTGCAGAGGACCTTCTTCGTTCCCAGTCATCATTTCCTCAATCAGTCTTGCCTTGTATTCCGCGGTCCTCTTGTCTATCTCGGCTAGTTTGCGCCTCGTGTCCGTGACCCTTACTTTCTTAGGCATGGCTCCTTCCGAGTTTCGGGGGCTTGTCCTATCCTTATTTCTGCCTTCCTTGGTCCCCTGGGTCCCTTGCCTGCTTCCCCCGCCTTTCCCTGAGCTTTCTCCTGTGGAGATTTCCTTCCGGTTCCCTTTGGTACCATCCGGATTTATCGATTCTCTGTCCTTCTGCCCCCCTTCGCTTTGCGCGGCACTGCCTTCTAAGCCTGGTTCCCCTTCACTCTTACGGTTATCTGTCTCCTCCTCCATTGCCATTTTGCCTAGTTCTGCATAAGCCAAAGAATTCCCAGGACACACGCAATGCGAGGTTTTTAGGTTTCCTAGGCTCCGAGCTCTGTTGCCTTATCTTTATAGTCTCCTTTCCTATCCCCGTTTCCTGATCGCCCTTCCTTAAGGAGGAGCCACGACTGGCCCTGCCGCCCAGCCGAGCTATGAACGTGACTGGGCTTCCTTTATCACAAGCTCGTTTGTAGTGCCCTTGTCCCGTCGGCCGACGCGAGGGAGTCCGGGTTAGGCATCCTACTAGGGGAAGCCTTCCCGAGCAGCGTTTCCCGTTTTTGACCTTCAGGGTTATGGTCACTCATTAGGAGTCTGCCTCCCCCCTTTCATTGTTTTTCTAGTGGGTTTTAGCCATCCAGGTCCGAGGCCCCCTTTCTTATTCCCATCGGCGAACTTCCATACGCAGCGAACTATACTCGATCTGCCCTACTGACCCGCCTGCGGATGCTAATCCCACTCTCGCCCTCGCGGCTCTTCTGGCTCGGTAGGCTCCTCGAATAGTTAAGCCACCCCCGTTAGATAATTCTCCCCTATCTCGATTTCCCTTTGGATTATGCGTTCGCACCCTGTCCAGTCTAGCCGGGGCGCACAAAACATCAGGATGTGGATGACTTCTAGTAATTCGTGGGCCATGTTTCCCCAGAACGGCCCATGCTCCACAGCGACATCGTAGAACATCCCAATGGTAGGGAAGGGAAAGTGGCCCGCCCACACTATCGCTGAGTCTGCCAGCTCCCGCGCCCTTGCGAGGCTTCCGAAGACGAGGTCTATCATAAAACGGGGCACTCGGCATCTCAGCGGTGTGGTCGGTGCCCTGAACTCCCTCCAACCTCCCATCTCCACCCGGGTTAGCAAGCCCACGTTCCTTCTTCCCCTCACCGAATGTCCTCTCTGGGTCAACGTCCGTGCGGCCCTTTGAAAGACCGGTGCCAGCTCGTGACCTTGTGCTATCTCTACCCCAACGAATGTCAGCCGATCTCAGGCAGATACATGGTCCCGGTAACCTCCAGATTGGAGAATAGATCGTCTCCCGGTCCTCGGTTGAGTCTCATCCCTGTCCACCGACATTCTACCAACATGAAGGCGGCGTCCCTTCCCAAAGTCACGGCCTGCCATTCTACGTTGAACCCCCGATAGATAGAACTCGACGGGAGGGATACTTCCCATCGCCCACCGTCGTTCTAGGTCGGTCCGGGGTACCGGGGCTGGCGTTCCATTCACACACGAGGCTGGCGTTTCATTCGCTCACGTCTTGCTGCCATTGTTACCTTGGTGATTTCCTGCATAGTCCACATAGAAAGGGTTACAGCCAATCTTCAGAATCCGCCCACCTACTGTCTCCCTTGCCCTTCGTGTTTTCATTTATCTTTTTTAGTCCCAACTATCCCTCTGTACCCCCGGGAGCGGTAGCCTCCTCTTGCTGTTCGTACAACCGGTAGAGATCATCTATGTAGGTCGCGCACCGACCTACCTCTCGCTGGATGACTCTCCACATGGTCTCATCGCTTATTTGTGGGAATCCTGGCCTAGTATTTACCGCAGCTCGTAGAATGCAAAGCACCTCGCGCCCTTGTTCGTCCCCGAAAGGCCCCATCCCTAGGAAGGCCCGATAGTATTCTCGATACCTTAGTGCTTCGTCAAAATTTAGCCTAGTTACGGCAGTCACTGCCTGCTCCACTCGTTCTATGCCTCCCATTCGTCTTAGCAGGAAGGGTGGTAGACTCATCCGTATTACCTCATTTGGCAGCTCAAAAACCCCTGTCGCGGCGACTTTACTTCAGCCGTCACGTTATCTCGTTCCGGATCTGCAAAGTCAAACCCCTCCCGCCAGCTCGCTTCCCATGCCCCTTCGAACATTCGCATGGGGTCATCCCCGGAAGCCAAAGCAATCCCAAAGGTCTGCCATCCCTCTTCCGACAGGTGTAAGGATCCCGTCGCATGTACACGCCCTGGGCGGTTCAAGTCTACGCCCCCGAACTCCCCTCTCGCCCGCCATTCCAGCTTCACTACTAGGTACACCGTATCTTCCACCAACTCTACCCCCACCCAGTCCATTACCGGATTGCCTACTATATTTCTTGTCGGCAGGCTTATTTCGACCCTACCCTCTGATATTCTTGGTGGCAGGATCCCACGAGGTCTATCCGCCCAGAACGTCATTCGTCGGGCCATCTCGCAATGTCTCCTTTCCTGCTCTCTTAGTCCGATCGCTGCACCCACCGAGATTTCATGCCTTTCGTGTTTTAGTCTTTCAACCCTCCCTTTTTATCGTACACTGGTTCTTGCTGCTACCCCCGACTTATACACGTATAATTCTACCCCTCCCCCTTTTTTTTCCGATTGCTGCCACTTCCCCCTTGTTTTGATCCTTATGCGCCACCTACGGCCTAATGTACACACTTCCCTTCTTATGTTACACCTCAATTCACAAGCACCCTCCATACTCAGGCTTTTCCGCGGTGTCCAATCCCTCGGCCTCATTTAGTCGAACCACAGTACCTCAAATAGTTTAAAGACATCGTCTACGTAGGAGGGTGCGGCCGCCGCCTCCCGCCTAACTATGGCGTCCCAAGACTCCGCCTCAACCTCTAGGCGGTCATACCTGCCTATTCTTAGGACGATGATGACTTCCTCAGCTTTATCTCCGTAGAAGGGCCCATATTTCAATGAGAGCCTATAGAACTCCTCAGTCAGCCAGGCACACTCTATATGCACCTTCCTCATGGAGTCCGCTACTTCTAAAATGTGCTAAAACCCCCCAAACCACTCGGCTATGAACTCCGGTACCCAAGCCGTTATCCGTAGACTTGGAGGCTTAAGTTCCTTCCAGCCTCCCATCACAACTCTGCTACTAACTTCGTCCCATCCCTCGTTGGCGAACCGCTTGCCTTCTTTTCGGGTTCGGGCCTCTGCATCTCCTAGAAGCCACATCAGGTCCTGTCCCATTGCTAACATAGTGCAAAACAGGTGCCATCCGTCCTCGGAAAGGACAATCGTTCCGACTTACTCTACCTAGCCTTCCGCTATATCATCCCAACCTTCCTCTTCCCTTACCGGGTTCCAAATCCGCTCTATCCATACATATGATAAGTCCAAGGCAACCTCAAACCCAATCCAGTCGCACGTGGTCCCCCTCCATCCGTTTTCTGTCGGTATACGCATTTCTATCCCCCCTCCGAGTCGTCTTGGTTCCCATCCCTTGAAGGTGTATTCCATCATCATCTCTTCTCTAGTCATCTTCCCCTTTCCTGCACAATACCAGGCCACTCGTCCTTCCTTAGTTAAGTTACCCCACCCCTCTCAAAAGTCCCAATCCTCTATCTCCTCATCCTCATCCCCATCACTGAAGTCGTCCTCTCCGTCGTAGAACAACTCTTTCACCCCCTCCAGAAATGTCTCCCCTATTGCCACATTTATATACACTATCCCCCAATGTACAGGGCTAAAGACATAGATATTGTCTAAGCTAAGACAACTTAGTATCTCGGCCAGCTCGTCCGCCCAGTTCCCCTCAAACGACCCCATTTCTACTGACAACCGAAAGAAATCCTGCCTAGCGCATTGGTATAGCCTGAGGTTCGTCATGGACTGGCATATCTGTACTAGCCTGCTCCGAGTTCCGAAAACCGCATCCACTAGGAGGGGAGGCAGCACACATCGCATGTTTCTTACGGGTCGCCTCATGCTTCCTCTATCCCCAAGTTCCACCCGCACATCTACCCTCTCCATTTCCATCTCCCTTCGCTGACACGCAGCCCACACAACCTCTGCTTCCACCTTCCTAAACAATTCGTCCGGCGTATTCCCGAGTGCCAATTCTATGACCATAGCATTTTCCCCATCTTGCGACAAGTAGACCCACCCCCGAGCTTCCACTGTTCCCCGGAACTCCAAATCCATTAACCTTGGTGACAACCTTGTCAAGCAAACATTATCCCATACCGTCTCTATCCAAACGCGTCTTTCCCATCCAGCATCACGGTTTGATATGCTGGTTCAAAGTCCGTCCACGCCCCATCTTCCGGGAGGACGACCGACACCCATTGTGGTTGGTTCATTCTCGTGAGAATCTTCAAGGGTGAGCTAGTTTTCCTTGGAGTCAAGCAACTCCCTTCATTCCCTTTTCTCTTCGCTTGTCTGTCCTTTCATAGGGCGGGATTGTTCCTTCTTGATAACCCATTGTGTTCATATTGGTTCCTTCAAGCATTTAAAAAAAAAGGTGCAAAGTGCATGAGCCCACTGGGCTCAAAGAAGGAGATAGAAGGGCACCCGTCCGATCGGTTCACTCCGACGCGGGATTTTCATTGGAACTCAGCCTAAGCCAAGCACCAACCGCCTGCCAGGTAACCGGAGCCCTTCTTTCATACGAAGAGGAAGGGTCGACCTGCGACTTGCCCAAGGCTTCCCCGGACTGGCGAACACCAGCACCGGAAGAAGGAAGGCTAGAACCATTCCACAAGGAAATGGTTGATCAAGTGCATATTATGCATGTTATACCTCCAGGCCTGGCCATGCCATTCGCCCAGCCACTCTCCAATCTGATTTCTCACAAGGGAAAGAGCAAACACAAGTCCATTTTCCTTATCTTGAGTTGTGTACACATCAATGCGTCGGGCGCCCCCGTCGGAATCGCAAGGATCAATTTAACCTCGATGCCCGTCGCATCCACCATTTTTATAGGGCCAAACCCCGGTAGACTTTCGAGCCTTAGTCGACCCCACTGCGGGTCCCAGTTGGCTCGACCAGCCCACACTCATGCTCAGGGTGCGCGCCATTCGTCCCAAGGTCACCCCCACCTAGTGCTTTGAGATGGATGGGGGTGGCCCATCGCGCGAGAGAGCTTTGACATTGGGGATGTAGCTCAACCCTTACGCCGGGTGGTAGTCTCGCTGGTCGCAACGCTGATTATTTTTGATTCTTTGTCGTGTTCTCATACAATTGCTTCTTCCAATACGCATGCAGTCCAAGGGTTCTTTGAGTACTTCTC